CGGATGAGAAGAGCCGACTCATTGGAAAAGACCCTGATGCTGGGAAAGATTGAGGGCAGGAGGAGAAGGGGACAACAGAGGATGAGATGGTTGGATTGCATCACTGATTCAATGGACATGAGTTTGAGTAATCTCCAGGAGATGGTGATGGACAGGGAGGCCTCGTGTGCTGCAGTCCATGGGGTTGCAAAGAGTCAGACGTGACTGAGTGACTGAACTGAACTGAACTGAACCTTCAAAAGCAAAACCGGCAGCCAACAGCCCAACCGAGATGTAACTGTGTGCCCAAGGTCTAGCCTCCACACTTCCACGTCATGTAGCTTAAGCTAGGAGAGAATGTATCGACACTCTAGCCATTATAATGGAACGGGCATCCAGGGTCTCAGTGGGAAGCTGGCCGTAGGAACTGAGCCAGGATTTAGAAACTTGTGGTAATACCTGAGCAAAGAGAGGGAGAGGTTGCTTCAACCAAGCAAATCTTCTTCTAAAACAAGCTGGGAAGATGGAAAAAGGGGACCCCTTTGTCAAATCAATGACAGCTTAACACAGAAAAGCTTTAGGTAACAGAGACTTTCCAGAAGAAGACAATTCTATGGCCATGCAATCCACAGACTCACTGGTACCCCAGACCCTGCAGCACTACTCATAGCCTGGGAATGTCTTGTCCAGAGCCGCTCTGTACCACTGCCACCTTGCTCTGTGCCCAACAGTCCTGCCCTGTCCCAATCTCCTCCCCACTTCTCTTGTGCTCTAATTCCATGGTGGGTCAATCAGTGGGGACCACCACCAGGAGGATCCTAAGGTTAGGGAAGGGGTGAAGGCCAAGAGGGTTATTCCTTCACCTTCCTCCCTGATAGTCATCATGGGCAGGCAGCATTTCTTGCTACAGTTTTGTCAGGTGGCCTCTCTATACATCAGGGTATAGAGGATGCCACTCTCTATACCACTCTCTCAACATCAGGGCCCCAGTGAGCTTCTCTCTCCTCACCCCTTCCCTGCCTAGGGGTGGTAACCGCCCTCGGTAACTACATTCTCCCTTTTGGTGTCCCCATGTGCCCCTTATACTTTGGAATCAGTCCCTTTATTAACCTCCCTCCAAGTTACCCAATTTTATCTAGAATTTGCTTTCTGCTATGATTCCCCACTGATATAAATAATAAGAACCATATTAAACACTAATTAAAAGCTCTGCAAGCACTGTGCTATGTAATCCTCCCAAGAATTCCATGAAGTGAGAGTTGTTAATCCACTTTACAGATGATGAATCTGAGACCTAGGGAACTGACGATGATGCGACTGGAAAATAGGAAGCTAGGAATTGAACCCAGGCCGTCTGGATAAAGACTCTGATTTTAGCCACTATGCTATGCTGCTGTGATGATGGTTAAGCTTACCCATGTCCATGACACTCAGAAGGAAAATGAAGCATCTTGAGAGACTGTTCTTCCCCACTGACACAAATAGCGCAGTAGCTGGTCTACAGCTGATGAAAATGATGAGCATTATTGCTGATGATTCTCAGGTTCAAGCAGCCTTTCTTCATCCCTTTCCAATCAGCTAGTAAAAGCTGTGAATCAGTGATGTTGATGGGTGCTGGAGTAGGAGTGGGAGCAAAAGAAAGCAAGAGAGAGAATGAAAAGGATCTAGACAGGCAGGTCATACTTAAATATCAAGTCATTCTTCGCAAGTCTTTGGTCTTTAATAAGAGGGCGGTAGATGTACAATTCGAGTGTTGACCTTTGAAACGAGAGCAAGGGTTTATAGACAGGATCTCAGCTCTCGTCCAGCAGAGGGAGAGGCTTCTGTGCTCCAGAAAATGAAATTTTTGTCTGCCAAATTAGACCAGCCAGTGACCGTTTATCTTTAAACCAGTGGTTCTATAAACTGTAGTTCCCACTTAATTCTGTCACAGATCTTTGTAGCTTCACATTTCTTTTTCAAAGCCTTCTTGAATATCTTGCACATAAAGATGACCTTTAGACTCCATTTAGCAAGTTCTTAAATCTATCCCATCCCGCTGGGATTTGGGTTGGAAAAGTGTGAACTTTACTATTAATTTCAGTGAGATCCATCGTCTCAGTTAAGCTTTCTTTGTTAAGGGCAGCAGAACTCAGTTCTGCCAACGTAAGCAAAGAGAAACTTAATGAAAGGATGTCAAGGGCTCATGGGCTTGACAGAAGCCTTGCATGATGTATAGGGACTAGGCTTGGGATGAACAGGAACCAAAGGACATTCACAATGCCAAGGAAGCAGTGGGGAGAGCTACAGTCTGGATCCTGGAATAGTCTGCCCCAAAGCCTCTGAGTCCAGGAGAGATTCTAAGCTGTGACACTGCTCGAGATTCGGAGTGTACAGAAAAGCACCTGGGGAAGTCAGCTGAGCCTTATCCTCTTTCTCCCCCCTCTCCCTATCCCTTTCCACCAACTAGAGTAGAGTGAAGGAGAATCTGACTCCCAGTGGAAAGTGTTCACTGGGAACTGCCCTCTACAGAAGCTGCTACGAATGCCCACCTCTACGCTTTTGGCCTAAAGGACAAGTTACCTACAGGTTCACCTACATACAGAACTACTTTTCTCCCTGGCTACTGGACCACCATCAACCAAGACAGGACAGGATATCAAGAACGCAGCTTCCTCACCCATCAGAAAGAAATTCTGAAGTGTATTCTTTCTCAGAAAGTTAGCGTGACTGAGTTCAGGTACCCACAGTGATAAGCTCAGCTTTAATGCCATGAAGGATGGCTGACTCTTTTCCATGCCTCATGTCCGAATTCTCTCAGTGCATCCTGGAATCTTCTCCCAATTAAACCATGTGCACTCAAGTTCAGCTTTAAGGGAACCCTAACTAAGAGATTTTAACCAGGGTTTCTACACAAGGGGAGAAACAAATCGCTAACAGAAACTTGAATTGCAGTGAGGTAAAAGAAATTGATGATGGGCAACCATAAAAGACAAATTCACCACAACCGCTAACAATGACAGCCAAAAAAAAAAAAAAAAATGTTTTTAATGGGCAGAGGACCTGAATGGTCATTTTTCAGAGAAAACATACAGATGGCCAATAGGTANTGACTTTCAAGTTTTTTTTGAAACTGCCTGATGGATAAACAATTCTACAGAGGAGCAGAGTCAAGGGATTCCCATCCCTTACCCAGCTGGTCCACAACTGGATGCCTGAGGGCATCAGTTTACTGTGAAGCCAAATTGCTTTGTGAAAATAAGGACCTCAGTACAGTTCATTTCCCTTCTGATTATGATTCTGGCCTGGAGTCTGAGGATAACCAGATCTCCAGGGTTGGAACCAAAACAGGACTTGTACTGGATAGACTTATGTTTGGATAGATGATCTCTCCCCTGCCAATTCTTCCCCTCCTCCTCCATGAGGATCAGATCCTAAACTCCAGCATGAAGTAAACAAAAGAGAAAAAAATTCCTTTGTAAGCCCACCAGAATCTAGTAAAAACAGAGCCATATGCTGCAGAACCCAATCCGGAAATTCCAGCTTAACATAAAAAATATAAAATACCATCCTCAATATGCCAAGCTTTTATAAAGAAGATGAGTGACTCTGCCAACCCAAATAAGAGGAAAGGCCAAATGAGTTAAAGCACCAAGCACATTTCAGAACTACCCCTCCCTTCACCAAATCATAAATCCCATGTAAGTAAGGTCTGTGGATAAGGGCTTGGGAGACTATCTTAACTATGAACCTCTTATTCACCCAGAGCCTAGGGTTCAAAGTGTATGTATATCATAGAGCAGGGGTCTCCAACCCCCAGGCCAAGGACCAGTACCAGTTTGCACTCTGTTAGGAACCAGGCCCCACAGCAGGAGGTAGGCAGTGAGTGAGCAAAACTTCATCTGCCTCCCCCCATTGCTCCCCATCACTCACATTACTGCCTGAACCATCCCTCCACACCCCAGTCCATGGAAAATTTGTGTTCCACAAAACCAGTCCCTGGTGCCAAAAAGGTTGGGGACAGCTGTCATAGAATATAATGACCCAGAGCTCAAAGGAAAAATAACATCGTTAACTAAGAATTAGCCCCTAAAAATAGATTCTACCCAGAGCATTTCTTTTCATGAGAAATGGAAATTACAGAGATATGTGGAAAAACATAAATTCATACAGTAGCAATATAGTGCATTGTTTGAAATAGTGGGTCATTTCACTGCATAATTTGTGACACAACTACACTGCTTCAAAAAACAGAATGCCAGCCACGAATAGCACAACAAAACTCTTTCACAGAAATGTTCATTATGGATACTTCATTAAAGGACACTTCCCAGAACCGTACATATAAACCTTGATGTTGCATTATCCATAACTTTGTCATGTAAACCATACTTGGTGTCAAGAAGAGACTGGGAAACTTAAGTCTTTATTCTAGTCATTTCATGTGCCCAATACAAATAAGAGCTGTTATTACTAAAATTAAGAAGAGAATAGAGCATGTTGGCAATTTCCAATCAGGAACTTGATTTTCCCTTTATACAGACAGCCTGGTTAAGACGTCTTAGTTCATGTTCCCCTAAAGCAGACTTTGAGACAGTCTCTGTTCTTCCCCTTTCATGTCACCTCAGCTAGCACATGCTTTTTATATGCCTGCCCTGTGAAGACATGCTCATGAAGGTCAGCTGGCCACAGTAAGGAGTTTAGTTTGATCATACAACAGGAAGCCACCACAGAATTTTAAGCATGAGAATAGTATAACAAAATATATGATTTTCGCAGGTCACCTTGGTCACTCTGTAGAACAGCGCACAGTAAGGTAAGCATAATGCAGGGAGCCCATATGGGAGGAAACTGCAATACATGAAGGGGCCCTAATGGCATCGAGACAAAGGTGGGAGCAATAAAGATGCTGAGATGTGATTGAACTCAAGTCACAACGTGGGGCTAGAGCCAACAGTACTGCCTGATATGGGTGTGATAAAATGAGGAGTGCTCAAGGGCCCAGAACTGAGAATGCAGATGCCACTGAGAGACTGGATCCGGGAGAGGAAAATCCAAAGGCCTTTTCTGGATGAGCCAGCAGTACCCAGCAGGCCCCCAGCAGTGTCCAGCAGGTAGGCAGTTGATACATGAGTCTGGTGTGCAAGAGTCTGTGATTGAACTCAAGTCACAACGTGGGGCTAGAGTTGGCTAGAAATATATTCTTAGGATTCCTGAGTACATGACAGCATTTAAAACCATGGAACTGTATGAGTTCACCCATGAAAGGTGTAAATCAAAGAAGAAGAAGAAAGAGAAAAGAAAGGTGAGGTGGGGGTGAGCGGGCTGCAGACAAAGCTTTCAGGTGCTCCAACATTTGCTGACATAAAAACAAGGACATGGCTCCATGGAAAACTCAGTGCCCTCATCTGCAAAATGGGAGCATGTCTGAAAAAGTGCATGGGCCACCACGCAGCACATTATAAATGGAAAAAGACAGTCCTTACTTCTGCATCAAAAGGTAAATAATTTGAAACAATCAATTACATTTATCCAGTCATAAAATTAAGTTATAAAATTAAGTTTTGGTTCAGTTGTGTTTAACATAACTCTGTTTAGTCCTAGCTTTGTTTTTTATATCACATTTAGGCATAGCCCATGAAACATAACATAAACATAAAAACTGTTATTAAAAGTGTTCATAAAACTTCCTTCATACTTCTCCTTTTACATAACAAGTGACATCCCTACACACTACAAGGGAAAAGAATTTGGGAGATAAACATCTTAAAGAAGAGCAATGTATTTTTTTTTTTACATTGAATCCAAACTATAACATTAAAAAAAATTATTTTCCTGCATATCATGATGAAAAAAAATAAAAAGGAAAATGGCTAGCATTTCTTGAGCATTTATCATATATAAGGCACTGTGATGACTACTGCACACATCATCTCATTCGATTTTTTCAACTCTAACGCAAGGTGGGCTTTAGTGAATGCACGTCACAGTGGGAGAAGCTGAGGCCCAGAGAGCTTGGGTAATTTGTGGAGTTGGACAGTGGGAGAGCTGGTTTGTAAACCTGGATTAAGTTGGCTCTGAAGCCCACACACTTAACCTTTCATTCTACTATTTCATAATTATACTCTAGGTTGCTTCAACACTGTGCTGATTTCCTATTGCTGCTGTAACAAATCACCACAAACTTAGAGACTTAACACTAATTTATTATCTTACAGTTTTATAGGTCAGAGGGCTTCCCTGTGGCTCAGATGGTAAAGAATCCGCCTGCAGTGTGGGAGACCTGGGTTTGATCCCTGGGTTGGGAAGATCCCCTGGAGAAGGGAAACGCTACCCACTCCAGTATTCTGGCCTGGAGAATTCCATGGGCTGTATAGTGCATGGGGTCGCAGAGTCGGACTCAACTCAGTGACTTTCACTTTATAGGTTCAGAGGTCAAAAAATGGGTCTTATGGACTAAAGGTAAAGTGTCAACAGGGCTGCATTCTCTCTGAAGGCTGCAGGAGAGAATCTATCCCCTGCCTTTCCTGCTTCTAGAATCTGTCTGCATTCCTTGGCACATGGTCCTGTCCAGTCATTAATCACTCTGGCCCCTGCTTCCATCACCACATCTCTTTCCCTGATTCTGACTCTCC